CTAGAGAAAGCATATTGCTCACGTCAACGTGGCCGACAGTTCGCTCGATGCATGCAGTCTATGTAAACAGATATGTATACACACACATAATTACACATATACACTCCAGGATCCTCGCGCGCACTTCGCGTGCGCTCAGGGTTCTCCAGACTCCCAGCTCGCGGTGAGATGCCGAGGAGTGGGCGACGGTTGCGGCAAGGACTTTCAGTCCGAAGACGCCACCGGAGCGTGTAGTAAACATCCCATCCATTGAGCACGTAGGTCTCCAGGAGGACGAAGAGGACGCGGGGGGCGGTTTGGAGGCCGCGGAAAAGGGAGGAGAGTCCAGGAGCTTGACGGCGACGGAGGCGAGGGTGGAACGGGAAGGAGGGACAGGAACAGAAGGAGAAGCGGAGCCTCTGAAGACGAAATAAATTAGGACAGCGTGGAGGGGCCACGATGCCCCTCGTCCACGTGTGCATCGAAGACGCCCACGGTGAATCACCGCCGCCCCCTGCCTTTGTGGAAGCGCCTATGTGGCCGAACGTTGAGGCCAGACCTGCCAAGCTATCGGACCATGTGTTCCCCGAATCGGTTTGGAAAGCCTTCGGGGAGCAAGTGGGCATCTTGAAGGTCATCTTGGCCGCCCCTGGAGGCCATTTTGACCCTTTCGGGCCTTCGTGGAGGACGTCTTGGAGGGCTCTTGGGCCGTCTTGGAGGCCTCTTGGGGCCGTCTCGGGGGCCTCTCTGGGCCGTTCTGGGGCCATCTTGGAGGCCTCGTGGGCGATCCTTGGGCGATCTTTGGGGGCTCTTGGGCCGCATCGGGCCGTCGGAAGGCCGAAACGAAGCAAATGCCAAAATCCTTCGAAAACCTATGGGACATCTGTGTTTTGGGCCTCTTCAGGCCTTCCTGGAGGCCCTCTTGGAGGCCTCTTGGGCCGTCTTGGGCCAGCTGCGAGCCAACTTCGGCCATCTTCGTGGGCTCCTGGCCCGTCTGACGCCGTCAGAAGCCGTTAGGGGGGCCTTTCTGGGCCGACTTGGGGCCCTCTTGGGGTGCTCCAGGGCCGTCTTAGAGGCCATCTTGGGCGTCTTGGATGCCTCTTAGGTCGTTTTTGTGCCCTCTTGGGGCCGTCTTGGGGGCCTCTTGGGCAGTCCTGAGGCCATCTTGGAGGCCTCTTGGGCGCTGTGGGGGCGATCTTGGGGGCCTTGTGGGGCGTCTTGGGTCGTCGGAAAGCCAAGAGCAGCGAAATCGAAAATCCTTCAGAAAACCTAAGGAAAATCAATGATGTTGGCCTCTTCGGGCCCTCCTGGAGGACCTCTCGGAGGCCTCTTGGGCCGTCTTGGAGGCCTCTGGGGGGCCTCTTGGGCCGTCTTCGGCCGTCTTGGACTCTCTTGGGCCGTATGGGAGGCCGTCTTGGACCATCTTGGGCGGACTTGGAGGCCATCTTGGACCATCTTGGAGGCCATCTTGGGCCAACGTGGCCATCTTGGAGACCATCCTGGGCCATCCTGAACGAAACATTCCGCAAATTCTGGGCCTTCCGGGTGGCCGGCGGGACGGGCCGAAGCCCCAGGGGGAGTCCTTTGGGAAAAAAACCAGAAGCAAAACCGAAAGGATCCAGCACGCCAGGCACCCCTGCGATGAATCGACAGGGGGCGGCGGATCTAAGACGCCTACGGCGAATTACCGCCGCCCCCTGCCTTTCTGGAAGCGCCTAGGTGGCCGAACGTTGAGGCCAGACCTGCCAAGCTATCGGACCATGTGTTCCCCGAATCGGTTTGGAAAGCCTTCGGGGAACACGTGGGCATCTTGAGTCGAAAACAAGCTGGTAAGCTTAGGTATGTGTTACGCTTTAAGCGTTGCCATATCCCAGGCTTTGGCTCATATCGCATGAGCAAGAGAGCAAGACGAAGCATGGGATCTGGAGTAAAGGATAGGATGGGCATCGTCAATGGAAAAGGTATTTTCCGATCTCTGATGCAAGTCGTGCGCCTCGGTGAGGCACAATCATATATTTGGCCGGGCCCGGCTTGAGCCAGGCACGGCAGCGGTACATGCTCGATTTATACCTCGCCTTTAACCTTCTCCGTTTAAAGTCGGAGGGGGAGGAGACGAGCAGGTACCGCACTTCTACATTATGCGGAAAAAACAGTGCTAAGCAGCAGCGGCTGCCTACAAGGAAAGGGCGCGCGAGTAGCCTCGCTACCGGCGAGTTTCCTCGCTACTAAAGCGCACCTGCCCGCGGGTTTCCCCGCTGGCTCGGGAGGCAGGGCCGTCCTGAGACGACCTGCCCGCCCTATACGGCGTATGTTTCTTCAGCTCGTGCTTGAAGGATTGCTGGCCGGCCATTACTTGTAGGAGCAACGCGCGGTCAATACTACCTTTGGTATGACCATCGGCAGTCATATCCCGCGTGTCACACCATTGGACGCTTTCCACGATTCCGCGTTCCATCATCTGGCGGATCCAGCTGATGTGCCCAAGCAGAGTACATTCTGTGGGCTTCTTCAGATCTTTGCTAGACAAAGACTTGAAGACAGACTCGGCATCAATAGTCAGAGTGACTTTGATACATAGACCACCCATTTCCAATATGTTCTTTAACTGTGTGGGGGTCAATGGTCCCGAGTGTAGCTCGTGGAGCGTTACAATGGTCGGGTAGCAGTCTTCCAAGTTGTGGGCTGCTGCCAGTGTTTCCGCAGAGTAGCTCGAACGCACCTGCAGTCGATGAGACTTGCAGTATGCGTCCACCAGGTGCACGACGGGTTTCCCCGCTTGCGTGTGGCCACGCCTCAGCAGGTTAGCCCCGCGGATACCATAGCCTTTGACTTCGTCGTCTTCATCTCCGTTGAGACGACGATAGCCAGAATCGCTATGCAGGTCGACTTCTCCTGTTGGGGTCATAGCTTGATACACGATCTTCTTCGGACCTGCCTGTAGCTTTCTGGTAACCGCGTTTAGTCGTCGTACCTGGATGTTTGTCGGTTCCTGGATACGTTGTAGTGAGACAACATAGACCATCAGCCATACCTGCGTGATCAACGCATAGGCTAGAGCGCCACGAAGACTGACGAACATATCAGAAATCGTCTTTGTCGCTTTGCTCTCAGGATCAGCTCCTGTGAGTTCTGGATGTGTGATAGGACGAAGCTGTTTGATGTATTCGTCCTGATCGAGAGTGACGCTCCCATCATCGGTCTTGTTGTACCGAACGGCACAGTTTGTGTATGTGTGCTTGTTCAGTTTGCACTTCCCAAACGTATCTTCAACACACTTGACATACTTGTCAATAGCCTCTTCCTTCCCAGTCATATTGATGTCATCAACGTGCTTGGCTGTCAAGAGGTTTGGGCTCATCTCGAACTCTTCGTCGTATGAAGTAGGCTGTAGCCCAAAGCTCCTAGTGATGGACCTGAGCTTCAGCGAGAATGCCCTGGGAGCATCCTTCGTGCCCGTCCCCGGTTTCAGACACCGGAGACAATGCTTTGATTCGTCATATGACTCAAAGCCTGGCAGTGTGCGAAGGACAGCTGCTGACCCAGGTGGTAGTGTGAAGCACACCACACGCTCTTTCTCGCCCGTTGCCGCGGCGAGCTCGCCATAGGTCAGTCCCTTCAAGAAAGCCATGTTGATGTCCAGGGAAGCGATGATCCAAGCTTTGTTGCATGCAGCAGAACTTGCGAGCAGTCTCTGGCTTGACCTCCTTGCCGTGCCAGAGAAGGTTTCGACATCAAAGGCTTCAAGGTCCATGAAGCCACGGAGTACCAAGCGTAACCTGATCGTCCTTTCCATTTCGCCCTTTTCGTTCTTGACAAACTTCCATTTGTATACGTAGCGTGACGTCATGATGTTAGACGCCTTGCTTAAGTCAGTCATCTGGAAGCATTTGTTGTCAAGCCAAGTCTTCAATTCTGTGTAGAGGGCTTTGGAAACTTTGACCGGATTTGCTTGGATGTCGGCCTTCGTGAGTAGATCGTCTTCCTTGACGACCACGGCACGTTTGGAGGCAGCGCTAACGTATACTCGCATAGTTGTGACGCTGCTGTCATCCAACAATCGGTGTTGCTGCTCGGACAGGACGACTTTGGACATGTCTGCAGTGAAGCAGAGCTCGATGTACTTCCCGTGCTCATCGGAGTCCAGATCATATTTGCTATCCGGATCCGTGGAGCATAAAGGAACGTAGTAAGAAGTGTCCATGTCGTATCCTGGCGGGTGACCCCGCTCCGGCAAGTGGCCTTGCACATCTTCACAGGTCGTAGAGACTAACACACACTGTGTGTCTGTCATGTATGTGGGAACTGTATGCATGACTTCCTCTGTGTCAGCTTCAAGGAGTGTTCTGTCATCCATCAGTTCAGCATACCACGACTTCAAGACAAAAGCATCCAGATCTTCTTCTGTTTCCTCTATGATGGTCGGGAGCCGACCATCGTTATCCGTAGGAGGCTCCTCAGGAGCAGCTGCTGGAGGTGATTCGCTTGGTGGTGGACCATCAGCGAGTTCCTCAAACTTAGTGAGGTCTTGGTCAAATCCAGCAGACGGCTTCCTGGATTTAAGACACTGGATGATGCGTGAGTGTGTAGATCCTGTGATGTCATAGATGTTCAAGGCAGTGCCATCAGCTTCATAGTAATGAAAACCAGGGGTCACATCATTATCATAGTGCACTAGTGTACAGCTGTCTGCATAGGGTGCAGCAGGCAACTTCGTCAGGCTCTTGGCAAGTCGTACAGCAACAACGTTTTCAATACGAAAGTAGTTGCGTATGAGGTACTGAAGAGCCAAGTGCACCTTAGGCGAAAGTCGGCTCGCAGCAGTCATCTGCAGCCGACCCTGTTTCGCTGGTAGATATCCGAAAGTCATGGCGGGTTTCCCCGCTGGCAGACCGGCAATAAAGGCCAATACTGTCCGAAGGGCCGTATTGTCCGATCCTATCTCGCGGACCATAAGTGCTTCGATGTACAGTGTGTGTCGTGTGTCAGGATACTGTACTCGCACTTCGCGACTGCCGACCTTC